TAAGGCTACGCTAGTCTTTATGTAAGGGTTTACAAACGAAGCCGCTTGGTCGTCCGATGCTGGTATAATCCGCCCGGGCAAGTGCGACACACTGCGTCAGGTGGTATCAAAGCGGGAGTTCGCCCAGTCAGATGGCCAATCAAGACGGTAGTAGTCGCAACCAATCCCGTGACGGAGATCAGGGGTTGCAAGCTGTTTGGAGAGCAATCGAAGAGCAGCGTACAACCACTCATAACATTGAGCAACAGTTGGCAGGGTCGTTGGACAACTACGAACTTTGTTACGAGAGGATGTTCCAAGGAATAGGGATAATGCATTGCACCAAGCCAGAGGAGACGACCACGGTAGACCAATCATCGATCCTATACCCAGGAACCCTATTCTTGATGATGATAGCGACGACGAGCTAGAATTCGGCGTTGCTCCAGTTATTCCCGGTGACGGCAGAACCGGTAGGAATTGGCGAAGTCCCAGCAATTTTAATCACCGTCGAAATAATGATGAATTTAAACTCAAGGTGGATATTCCTACTTTTAGTGGAGATCTGGATATAGAGGGCCTTCTAGATTGGATCACCGAGGTCGACCGTTTCTTCAAGTACATGGAGATCCCGGAAGAAAGAAGGGTGAAATTAGTAGCTTTTCAATTGAAGGGAGGAGCATCTGTTTAGTGGGAACGAATGAGGGAGACCCGGATCAGAGAAGGAAGAGGTCCAGTTCGAACATGGAGGCGTATGAACCAATTAATAAGAGGTAGGTTTTTACCTCCTGATTATGAGCAATATATGTTTGAGTCATATCAACGGTGTGCGCAGGGAACAATAAACGTGAACAAGTACACCTCAGAATTTCTGAGATTGGCTGAACGGAACTAGTTATCAGAAAGTGACAATCAACAGGCAGCCTGTTATTTGAGTGGTTTGAAACTTGCTATCCGAGACAAGATTGGCGTTCAGATGGTTCGGAGCGTACAGGAAGCAAGGAACTTAGCTCTAAAGACTGAGTTAATGTTACAAGAGAAGACCTGAGCCGATAACTATTGACGGTATAGTGGGAGCGACAACAGGCCGGCAGCAGTCGACAAGGGCAAGCCAACCCAAGGAGCATAACCCTCCCACCCGCTGAGTGTAGCTAATGCCAGTAAGACCTCCACGGGAGGAAACACTCAAGGTAATACTTCAAACCCTCCTAAAGCCGTTAATCCCTATGCAAAACCTGCTCCTTTTAAGTGCTTCAAGTGCAATGAAGTTGGGCATAGGTCTAGTGACTGTCCCAAAAGAAAGGCAGTTAACATGGTGGAGAGGGATGAGGAAGAAGTTGGTGATGACGAAGTATATTATGGACCCGATGGAGAGGACGAAGAAGGTACCTATGATCATGAAGAGTACACATGCGTTGTAAGGAAGCTAATGCTATCTCAGAGAAGCAAAGATACCACACAACGACACCGGCTGTTTCGCACTAGGTGTACGGTATAGGGTCAGTTATTTGAATTAATTATTGATAGCGGCAGTCAGGAAAATATTATCGGTAGGGATGTGGTACGAAAACTGCAACTAATTCCTGAGAAACACCCGAACCCTTACACGATTGGTTGGATCAAGGAAGTCGGGGGCGTACGCGTGGAGGAACGCTATAAGGTTCCATTATCTATTGGTAAGTATACTAGTGAGGTTTATTGTGATATTGTGGATATGGATGCTTGCCATATTTTGCTTGGTAGGCCTTGGCAGTTTGATGCAGATGCCAAACACCTGGGTAGAAAGAACACATACCAGCTCGAGAAAGAGGGTGTGTGCTATACACTATTACCCATGTTAGAAAATAACCCAATCAAGGCTTCAAAGGCAGAAAAGAGGAATTTTCTTACCATAACACACCGCCACTCTGAATTTGTAAGAGAATGTAAGGATACCTGTGAGGTCCACTTACTGGTGATAAAGGGGGAAAGTGTGAGTGAATCACTAGGGGAGAACAAAATTCCAGTGGAAGTGCAGGAACTACTTGACGAGTTTCATGACGTAGTTCCTAACGAGTTACCTAATGAGCTCCCACCCATGCGAAACATCCAGCACCACATTGATTTTGTTCCTGGTGCTAGTCTACCTAATCTGCCACACTACAAAATGAGTCCTAAAGAGAACGAGATTTTACAGGAGAAGGTAGAAGAACTGTTGAGAAAGGGGCACATCCAAGTCAGCATGAGTCCATGCGCCGTACCGGCATTATTAACACCGAAGAAAGATGGGAGTTGGAGGATGTATGTCGACAGCAGAGCAATCAACAAAATCATTGTTGGCTACAAGTTTCCCATTCCTAGGCTGGATGACATGCTTGATCAACTTGATAGGGCTGTGGTCTTTTCCAAGATCGATCCCAGGAGTGGTTATCATCATATCAGAATCCATCCCGGAGATGATTGGAAGACAGCTTTAAAGACCAGAGATGGATTGTTCGAATGGTTAGTCATGTCTTTTGGACTAACTAATGCACCTAGCACCTTCATGAGACTGATGAATCAGGATGAAGACTTCAAGCAGGTTTGGGAAAAGTGCATGAATCGGCAACCAGCGGGTGATTTCTACGTACATGATGGATTTCTTATGAAGGGGGACCAACTATGCATTTCTTGCATCTCCCTCCGCGAGAAAATCATCAGGGATTTGCATGGAGGTGGCTTAGTAGGACACCTCGGGAGGGACAAGACGATTGAGGCTGTCAAGGGGCGTTACTACTGGCCTAAATTGAGAAGAGATGTGACCAGTATCGTGAGTAGGTGCTACATATGTTAGACGATTAAGGGACAGACCCAGAATACCAGCCTTTATATGCCTTTACCTGTTCCTACTGCAATTTGGGAAGACTTGTCTATGGATTTTGTGCTAGGCTTACCGAAGACTCCAAGAAACATGGACTCCGTCTTTGTGGTTGTTGACCGGTTTTCCAAGATGGCACATTTCCTCCCATGCAAGAAGACCGTGGATGCAACAACGACAGCCAAACTATTCTTCAGGGAGATTGTCCGTTTACATGGGGTGCCTAGGACCATCACGTCGGATCGAGATACGAGGTTCTTAAGTCACTTCTGGATGACCTTGTGGAGGCTATTTGACTCATCCTTGAATTTCAGCAATACAACTCATTCGCAGACTGATGGACAGACAGAAGTGGTAAATCGAACTCGGGGTAACCTAATCTGGAGCATTTGCAGAGAAAGGCCGAAGCAGTGGGACTTTGCCATAGCGCAAGCAGAGTTTGCCTACAACAACGCAGTTCGTAGCTCTACAAGTAGATACCCATTTTCTATTGTGTATATGAAAGTACCTAACCATGCGTTGGACTTGGTGAAACTACCCAGGGTACCAGGCCTTAGTACTTCAACAGAGCAATTAGCCGGACAAATCCAGTCAGTACAGGAGGAAGTACAACAGAAACTTCAAAGGACCAATGCAAAGTATAAGCTTGCAACTGACAGGCATCACAGGTACCAGGTGTTTGACGTCGGTGATGAAGTCATGGTGTTCTTAAGGAAGGAATGCATACCCGTTGGGACTTGACAGATCATTAAGAAGATCAATGACAATGCTTAGGTAGTGGACTTGACAGATCACATGGGTATTTCCAGAACATTTAATGTCGTTGATCTTCATCGTTATTTACCGGAAGCGACACTTGCATATCCCGATCATGACTCGAGGTCGAGTTCCTTCCAAGCGGGGGAGAATGAGGGAGGTCCAGCTCACGACCCACCGAACCAGCCGGTGACAGCTCACAACTAGAGGGGAACATGCATCGGATAATGACATCTAGAGAGAACCATGCAGCGGATAATGTCGACAGCTCACGTATCCAACATGCATTGGATGATGGTGGCTATCGGACGGTGGACGTCAAGTCCATTTCCTAGTTGTTGTTTTAGTTGTTTAAATTTCCTAGTTATTCTACAAGACTACCAATATGTATTATAAATAATTCTGTTCTGAGTTTAATAGAGATATACAAGAATTCCTTCGCCACTTTTTCTCTCTCTACTAAGGCTACGCTTAGTCTTTACATAAGGCTTCACGAACGAAGCCGCTCGGTCGTCCGGTGCTGGTATAATCCGCCCCGGCAAGTGCGGCACGCTGCGTCACGGGGTATGTCATCCCCTAATATCCTTAATTTTTCTTTTGATAACATTAATAAAATTTAATGGTGACCGCCCCCTCCATTGAGAATAAATTTTAGGGTTAAAAAAAAAAGGAAAAAAGAAACATAACTTTAATTAAGAACATTCAAGTAGCACAACAGTGGACATACAGGATAAAGCATCATAATCCAAGTTGATTTGTTCATGTAGAATTTATGTAATGGAAACAAAACAGTGAAGAGAAGCTAACTAGGGGTAAGGAAAGAAAATGCTTAAGCCACCTTCTTTGCAAATGGTATCCTCTTCATAACAACCCCACTTATGAAGGAGTAGTCCCCACTAAAAAAAAATGCCCTGGCCACTTCTTCGATTTGAGACCCAAGCAGGAACCCAGACCATATATGGTTCTCTTTTATTTGTTTTTAATAATGTCTCCATGTGGTTGCAAGCTCAAAGCCGCACCAGAACCCAATTGAAGAGCTGAGTTAGAATACAGTACCGTAAAGCTTTTTTTTTTCCTTTGTATTAATTATAGACCACAAAAATGTATGTATTTTCAGTCGGTTAGAATATTTTGATTCCCAAAAATGAGATTGTTCGTCTCTCTTGCTCCAAGAATCCAGAGTCATTTTTACAAAGGGAATAAATGACAGATATGATAGCCTTACTTATTCCTGCTCCTAGCTCTAAGAGTCGTATGTGACAGTATCTGTATCTCAACATTAGTGGAACGCTTGTGACATGTCGCACTAACCAAAAGAACCAAGGCAGTAAAGAATTCTGTGTGTTTGGTGCCTCTTCCATCGTGTTCTCGCTCTGTCTTATTATAATCAAAAGCTAACGTGTTAGCAACGGAGCCTTAAACTAAGAGCAAAACAAGGTTCTATCAAGCTAAGACATGGACAATACAGTTTTTCTCTCTCCACCTACCCAAGCATTATTTATATTCTTTCGTGGGTGTTAAGCAGTTCGAGGCAACATCATTTATCGGCAGCTCTTTCATTCTAAGCTTCTCCGTCTTAGACCAATTTTCTCCAGAGAAACCATGGGAGACACCTTGCGCTTGGCAGTTGGCGTAATGGGTAGCTAGCTATAGCTTCTGATCATTTTGTATATTTTTCTTTCTTCTTCATATATATTACTAAATGTAATGATCCGAAGAGCAGTGTAACACATTGGCTTCACATGATAGTTTTTGTTTTGCAGGGAATGCAGCTTCCTTGCTACTGTATGCAGCACCCATGTAATTAAGAAACTCTAGCTAAAACTTTGTTGTTTTGCAGTTGTTAATTCAAACCAATCTGAAATTTGACCCTAGCTATAACTAATTTTAACCTTGAAGAAATGTTTTTTCCCTCCTTTTCTTTACAGATTAACTTTCAAAAGAGTCATAAGGAAGAGAAGCACCGAAGAGTTTTCATGCATTCCTTATATTATTGCACTATTGAATTGCCTCCTATATACTTGGTATGGTCTACCTGTAGTAAGCCACAGGTGGGAAAATTTCCCTGTGGTTACAATTAATGGCGTTGGGATCCTTCTAGAGTCTTCCTTCATTATCATATACTTCTGGTTTGCTTCAGCAAGAGGAAAGGTAAGCTATTCTCAATTTCTCACTTAGATATGATCTATTCAATTGATCCTTTATTTTATTGTTCTACCATAATTATTATGGCCTTAGTTACACGCCTAGCACATTATTATAAAGTCATTTGCATGAAAGCCACACATTCATGAACCAAATGCATACGTAAACTTGAAGCCATGCATAATCATTCACAAGCATACGTAGTTAGCTAGGGTTATATTTAGGAATAAGATCTGCATTTTGCATGTTATACCTATATATCAGTATTTTATATAGAGGAAGAGGAAAGAGGGAGGTCAAGAGTTCTCTCTCTCTCTCTCTCTCTCTCTCTCTTATAATATATATATAGTCAATGCTTATGACCTCTAAGCTTAAAGCCAAATGGGCTTGGACGGGTTGCTTAGCTTTGAAAGTCCTCTCACTAAGGGTGATCATTTCTAGTCCAGCCCAAATGTATATTCAACTTGAAGGTAGAAAAATGGTTTTTATTTTTATTTTTTTTTTACACTTGTATCATAATATGCACATTTATACATGGAAATTAATCTTTTATTAATTATACGTGGTGCAGAAGACGATTTGCTTGATGGAAGTGCCTATGATCATGATGTTCTGTGCCATAGCATTAGTGTCAACATTTGCTTTGCACGATCATCATCATCGAAAGGTAGTTGTTGGCAGTATAGGACTAGTGGTCTCTGTGGCTATGTATGGCTCACCATTGGTGGCCGTGGTTAGTGCTCTTTCCTAAGTTTCCTCATTCAGAATTAACTTCTTTTAATTGATCTAATCTAACCACTACTATGTGGTAACTGTTGGTAATGGTGGGTATGTCAGAAGCCAAACCTTTTCTTTATATACACAAATAAATGAATACTATGAAGTGGGTATGGTCCTTGTTAGCTTAATTAATAGATTAACCTGATTATCATATGGCCGACTCGAAAGCTGATGTCAAGCAGCAAGAAAAACTTCTCAGGCAAACCATTATTCAACTTACTATAATGTATAATCAGCTTTACACAAACTGAGAAGTGGTAATGAGCGGTCTGATACAGGTTGAATCAGCAAAAGAAAGGAAAAGGAAAGAAGGTAGACAGTAAAGAGTTCATGATAGGCAAATTCATGGTTTGGTGGATAATTGGTCTAAGCTCATCACCTGAATTTTAGGGTGGTGTTGGTATGTTGGGTTAAAATGGAAGGCCTCTTTTAAGCGCGTACAAATGTACAATTAAGGAGGTGCCCGAGAACATGGTTCGTTTTGCTTTTGAAAATAAAAGCAACTGCCACGTCAGTAAAAAAATATATAATTTTGCTGATGTGGCAGCTGCTTTTGTTTTCCAAAAGAAAAACCAACCATATTATAGAACAACCCAGAAACTGTTTCAAGTTTATTTCTGCAAATTAGACAATAATACTTTAAATGATATATAAGTAATGTTTCAATGGTCTGGTTAATAATAAAGTTATCCCTTCGATCTCTGATTTATAATTGCAGAAGAAAGTGATACAGACAAAAAGTGTTGAATTTATGCCGTTCTACCTATCCTTATTTTCATTTCTGGCCAGTTCTCTGTGGATGGCTTATGGATTACTGAGTCATGACCTTTTCCTTGCGGTATGTATATATACTAATTAATTCTAGTGAACTAATATTGGATGATCAAGTGTCTCACTTCTTTACTTTTTTTTCTCAGTCTCCTAATCTCTTAGGCAGCCCCTTGGGAGCACTCCAGCTTTTGCTGTACTGCATATACCGGAAAAGGAAAATTAATGTTGAAGAACCAAGCAAGATAGATTTAGAGAAGAATTCAGGGAAGTCGAAACCTCATCAAGAGCCAATGATCAATGGCACTAATGTCGAGATTTGATGATGATAATCAGCTCATATTTATAAAAGGTTCATAATTAATTAAGATTTCTTACGTTTCACTCAGTTTTGTTTTCTCTAAATTGGGGTTACCTAAAGCAGGTATATATTTTATGTTAGTCTTGCATAGAATATGGAGCACACATCTACATTAGTAATGTATGGAATTAGATCCCATCATTTAATGGTGGGAACTGATGCATCCTTATTTCTGCTGCAAATAAAGTCTTGGGAAGTTGGGATGAATTCTGACGGTGCGTTGTATAGTGTAGGAATGATGAATTGGAGCCAGATTCTTTAGGGGTGTTTGACAATATGGTGCTTGGTTTTGTTTTAGAAATTGCTGATGTGGCAATTGCTTTTCTTTTCAACCATGTTGTCTGAGATCCTAAATGGGATGAGTAGGATTAGCCGATTAGGGTTGTTTCGCTGACGGCAGAATTTACATCTGCCGCAACACACCCCTGTCGGTCTGTGACCACTGATAAAATATGGACACGTCAGAACCGGAAACTAGAAGTAATTTAGCCAGTGTTTGGAACCGGTGCCACTGCTCCATAAAACGGAGATACATCAGCGCCATGTTGTAAAAATTGGTGCTCCAGAAAACGTTAACATGTTTAGAACCGTTTTTCATAAAAAACGGTGCTCTAAATCATGCCTTAGAAATTGAGAAGGCGTGGTCTGGAGAAACGCCAAATTTGACGTTTTCTTAATTTGGAACTCGTTGCTATAAATAAGACATGATGCGACAACGACATAGACTTCCTATAATGGGTACCAATGCTGAAAATAGATATAGAATACTGGTACTAACAGTAAGTGTTGTTGTTGCCCCAGAAAACGTCCTACCGAGCAGCAAGTTTTCAAACAAAATCGCTTTCTCAGAAAACGATGCTATATATACAGCATCGATGCCAAACATATATTTAATTTCCATGATGTTTTTTAATTTATTTTCATCACTGATCTGTCTGCATTTCAATGGGGGTTGCATGGGAATGTTAGAAACCACTGTCGCAGCAGATGTGGTTGGGACTTGGGAGCAGATACGCTATATTGCATGGTTTTTGACACTTGCGTGTTTCACAAACTCTTTCACCAAGAATCAAGAATTCCATTCCCTGTTTTCTTTTTCTAAAACTATATATACAATAAAACTTGTTTGGTGGAGTTGTGGAGATGCATGCTGACTGGGAGTTTGAAGTGCTTTCGCTTTATTTATATATCAGATGTCACTTTTTCCAAAATTCAATGTGCCACATCACACATCATTTTGATGATTCAGCATCACCATGGTGATTAAAGCATTGTCAATTTGATTATTCAAGAAACCCTTTCTTTCACCAGAGGGCGGCTCAGTTGGTTCGCTCCAGCATGGACGATTGATTTCATTCCCGCAACCACCAATTTTGGAGATGCTTCTTCCTCTCATTAGTCGCAAGATTAATTAATACGTGCAGAAATGGTCTTTCCAAGAAATGGCTTATCAAACAGCATTCAAATCTATTCACAACAAAAAACTGTTCCAATATAGTTTTTACATGATTTGTCTACACATCTCACCATGAGATTGAAACACACCATGCCTGTGATACGCGGGCACAGATCATTTTGAAACAGTTTTTAGTTGTCAGCAGATCTAACATGGTCCAGATCTGCTCCTTAAACAGTGCTCCTAACACAGACCTTACAGGCACATCCTACCACGTATCAGGAACATCTCCCGTACTTAAATATTATTATCAAGGGAAAATTCCAGATCAGTACCCCGTACTTTGGTTCGAGTGATACTTTGGTCCCCAAACTTTAAAATGTGACAATTCAGTATCCGTACATTCAAAATGTGACAATCCAGTACATGTCGTTAACCAATCCGTTAATCAGCCATTAAGTGACATTTGAAAAGTCAAAAATGCCCTAAGAATGCCATCTAACTCTCTTTATCAACCATCCAAACATTGACAATAAAATGAACAATCCCAAATTCTAGATTCTTCTAAACAGTCACCAACTTTTTTCAATAGAAGAGGCTAGGATTTGGAACTGTTTAGTTTTTTGTCAACGTTTGGATGGTTGATAAAGAGAATTAGATGCCATTCAAAGGGCATTTTTGACTTTTCAAATGTCACTTAGCGGTTGACTAACGGACTAGTTAACAGTAGGTACTGACTGAATTGTCACATTTTGAAAGTTCGGATACTAGATTGTCACATTTTGAAAGTTCAGGTACTGGATTGTTGCATTTTAAAGTTTGGGAACCAAAGTACAGGGTACTGATCGAAAATTTTCCCTATCATCAATAATGCACAATGGGGTTTGCTTATAAAGTGCATTCTGAGGAGCAAATCGCAATTCGACCCAACCTATACTAAACATAATTAAATAGCATGGTTTTTTTGCTGATATGGCAAGCCAGTGAAGCAAATTAAAACACTCGTGAAATGCATCAATGCCAAATATACCCATTTGATGTGCCAAACTAGAATAAGATTATGATTAAGGGATCATTTGATTGCACTTTTTAGAGGTCTGAATTTGAAAATGCTACTTTTCAAACCTCAACCCTTGTTTGGTTTAGCTCAGGCGTTAAACTTGGGTTGGCTCTTAACGTGCTCAGGCGTGTTTCAGAGCCAGTGCATAGTCCAAAATATCCTTACAATATTATGGAAATGACGCGAGTTATGCCTAATAACCCCAAACCCAAAAAACCTAGACATTAGACCTTTCTCTCTCTCCGCCCTGTCTTCCCGCCACCATCGCTGCAGCGGCAGCTCTTTCTGTCTCTCTCTCTCCCCTATCTTCTCTCTCCCTCCCCTATCTTCCCACCACCGCCACCGCCGCTACAAGTTGTAGTGTCTCTCTCTCTCTCTCTCTCTCTCTCTCTCTCTCTCTTCCCACCACCACCACTGCCACTCCAACACGCAACAGCGATGGAGCGATGGTTCGATGGATAATAATAATATTTTTATTAATTATTAATTATTTTAATATTTTTTATTAAACATTAATTATTTTTTATTAAATTTACTTGTGTTATTTATTAATTATTTTTATTAACTAGTAATTTTTAATTATTTCATTAATCTTTTAAAATTATTTTAATTTTTGTGTAAATTATTAATTAGTAATTATTAATTTATTATTTTTTACTTGTATTGTTTCAATATTATTTTGAGGTTGAAAATTATTTTTTATGAGATAATGCAAATTGAATTCAACATTTCAAATAATATGTTTTAGAGGTAAAATAGTAAAATAAGTAAATTTCATATGGTAAAAGGTTGACCAATACAAACAAACTTGTAGATTCAGATCCTCTAAAAAGTAAAAAAGCATCTATGCCCCCTTTTAGATTTCACACTTTTAATATATTTTTAACTTTTCAGATTTATCAAATACCACCTAAATTAAAGGGAAAAAAAAAGTGAAAATGTGAAGAGAAGAACAATGCAATAGTCTATCCCAAGTCCTAATTAACCTTGCTGGTAGGGCTGCCAATGAACCAGATGGGGGTTGGGGGATGCGCTACCTAAAAAATTGAAATTCTACATTTCCGAGAACCGTGCAGCTTATAGATCGTTTTGGGCCTTGGATGGGAATGGGACACCACGATGTGATCACCAAGTTTCCATTAGACCAGCAATGGAAACTTGGTTGTAGATGTGATCACAAAAGAATGTGAAATCAATTAAACAACAATTACATATTCCATTTTCAAACGATTTAGTGCCCACGGTTGTGCCAGTAAGTACTGGACCCCTCTCACCGAAGCTGACCTTTCCCTCCAAGACGCCGTGCTAGCGCCCAATCCTTTTGCACTAAAAAAAGCAACAGGAAAAGAACAAAAATATTAAATTAAAAAAAAAAAAACAAAAACAGCAAGCCAAAAGGAAATATCTGTCTGACTGCCAAAATTGAGCTGGTACAAAGCCGTAACTTCAAGGCTACTATGTTAAAATAGTCTTTAGAAAGTAAATGCATGTCAGTGAGTTTTTTGCATTTAATTATCAAAACCGGTCTAAAAAGTGGGTTTCCTCATTTCTCCATCAGTCTGGAGTCCCATACTTCATCGGTTGAGAGAGAAATGAACTCAAAGGCATGACTATGTAGATATGGATTGAAATGAATTGTACTTAACTATTCACTATTACATAGAACTCGACCAATGAAGAATCAATGAGGAAATCACAAAAGTAGGTAAAGTAGTTCCAATAATTCAGCAGCAATCCTTGTCCATATATAACATTTGCCCTGCAAATATACATTTGTAGGTGTTTTAATTTCCCAACATCAAATTTAAACCCATGCATCTACTTCGAAAGGTTATTTAGATCAGCATGTCAAGGCTTTTAAGCACTAGTGATGCTCATGAGTTTGTTCCCCTGAAAGAATAGATTGTAATCTAACCCCTGAAAGACAAAGCAATAAGCTTTTAAGTTCAGCCACTTCAACTGTTTACAAATGGCCTCCAAGGCCAATAATCAATGCTGAGAGGATGCAACTGAACTGAGGCCCTGCTCTTCATTTGTGCCTCTCTTGGTTTCTACCCTATTTGTTGTCTGATCTGCTCTCCTACTCCCCCCCCTGGCAATTCCAACAAAAAGGAAGACCCCTTAACAAAATTTGTGCTATTTATTTCAAAGAATCCGATCATTTCCTTCCAAGGTAACCAATAGCTAGTTGATGCTATACATTCAACTTAACTAAGCCTTGCCCTAACTATACATAAATCCTTTCTGCAATTCTGCTCTGTTCAGTTCCATATACATCTTTAAATTGTGGGCTCAGCTGATTTGTATACATGCATAAAAATTAAATAGTAAGAAACAAGTTACAACAACTGTTTGTTCTCACAACTTGGAAAAGGCCTATGATCATGTGCAATGGAATGTTGTCAACCATCCGCTCCATAAGATGGGTTTTGGAATCAGAAGGAGTGGATTGAGATATGTGAATCATCTTTGAAGTTTTCAATTATGATAAATTGAGCTCCTGAAGCATTCTTTGCTGGAGAGAGGATGAGGCTGGAGAATCCCCTTTCCCTACTTTTATTCATCATTTTAGAAGCACCAAGTCAGTGTGAAAGGACAAGGAATGTAGACTGAAGGCTTCCAGGGGTGCAAAGATGGTCCATCAAATGACCTGTTACAATTCATGGAGAATTCTATCATCTTTTCAAAAGCTTGACATGAGGATATGCTATTCTCTAGGTGCTTGTTTATTAGTTTTGAAGTTGATTCTGATTTAAAAAGTGCCTTGTTAAACTCAAAGCTGATTCTAATTCAAAGTGCTTTGTATAATCTTTACTAAAGAAGTGCAAATACATGCACAGAAAACGCATTAAGAAGATACAAACAAAATCAATGAAGAATGTTGCATGAGTTTATTTGATTTTTGAAAATAAGAAACAAACACCACATGCTCCAACAAAGTAAAATGCATACATAGTTACATACATACATCATTGGTATTTTATTCGTTTGAGATTCAAAAACTCTTGTCTTTTTGTGTTTTAATTTTTGGTCTGACCCCTTTCTTGCATATTTGTCTTACATGTTTTAATCTCCCTCCAATACTTTGAAAGCTACTTAAAATGTGCTAAAAAAGCGCTTGTCCCACATTGAATAAGAAAATGGGAACGAGTATAGTAGAAAACTGCTGAATCAAGAATCTGTAAAGAAAAGAGATATTTCTTGAAGAAGAGAAAGAGAAGAGAAGAAATTGAGAAAGAAAAAGAAAGCAACCAGTTCTGACCACCCTCCTCACTAGTATATATACTTCTAATTAAAAAAGGGGTGCAATGACTAGTATGCCCATATAGGGCAGCTAACACATAAAACTGCATATATAACTCAAAAGAACCATTGAAAGGGACCCAACAAGAGTGTTGTGGTTCCCACTTCCTATCTAAACAATAAATAAACAAAAACAACTACTAAATATGCACAAATCTGCCCAAAAACCTCAACACTCCCCCCTTAAATTGGGAGTAAATGTCATACATTCCCAACTTGCGTAGGTCATGTTCAAGCTTGTTCTTTGCAACCCCTTTGATGAAGACATCAACTAACTGTAATTCCGAGGAGACATAAGGCAGGCAAATTTCTCTAGTTGTCACCCTCTCTCTTACGAAGTGTCTATCAACCTCAATGTGTTTTGTCTTGTCATGCTGAACCAGATTGTGGGCAATATTGATTGCAGCTTGGTTGTCACGATATAATATCATGGGCTCCTCAGCTTTTATCCCAATTTCACTTAGCAAGGATATAACCCAAAGTAGTTCTAAAACACCATGGGCCATAGATCTATATTCGGCCTCTGCACTTGATCTAGCCACAACTAACTGTTTTTTACTCTTTCATGAAACCAAATCTCCTCCTACAAAGGTGCATACCCCTGATGTAGATCTCCTGTCATCTAAACAACCTGCCCAATCTGCATCTATATAGGACTCCAGTTCAAATTCCCATGGTCTAAGAATAGAATCCCTCTACCAAGATGCTTCTTTAGGTATGCAAGTATCCTGTCAATGGCTTCCCAATGCTGAACCCAAAGAGCATGCATATACAGACTCACAACACTAACATAGGAAATGTCTGGACGTGTCATACATAAATATAATAACTGGCCTACCATCCTCTAATATCTCCCCACATCCTTAACCAACTCACCATCCAAAGCATTAATCATATGGTTTGGGTCAATAGGAGTATCAGCTGGTTTACTTCCTAGCTTCCCAATTTCCTACAATAAGTCCAACACATACTTCCTCTGAGAGATGAATATCCCATGCTTGGATCTTGCAACCTCAATCCCCAAAAACTATTTTAGTTCACCTAGATCCTTGATCTCAAACTTCTTCAGTGCATCAATCTCCCTCAGATCATTCCCTATAACAACTATATCAACCACATACACAATCAATACTAACACAAGTGCTTCTCTCCTTTTCACAAAGAAAGTATCGGACTGAGTCTATGTGTATCCAAACTGGATAAGTGCCCCTCTAAACCTATTGAACCATGCCCTAGGTGACTGTTTTTATCCACATAAGGATTTTTTTTTCAGCCTACAAGCTTTTCCCTCATTAACATTTTCATTAAAACCAGTTGGAATGTCCATATATACCTCCTCTTGCAAATCACCATTAAGGAATGCATTTTTAACATCAAGCTGGAAAAGAGGCCATGAATAGGTAGCTACTAGAGACAAGAGAATTCGAACTAAGCTCATCTTATCTACTTTTGCAACCAACCTTGCATTGTACCTCTCTATACTGCCATCAGCCCTATACTTCAGAGTGAACACCCATCTACATCCGATAGTCTCTTTGTCTATAAGAAGGTCAACTGTCTCCCATGTTCAGTTCTTAACCAAAGCCTCCATTTCTTCTTGCATAGCTATTCTCCACTCAAGTTTGGAGAGAGCCTCGTTGACATTCTTGGGTATCAATACAGAATCCAAGGAATAAAGGAATGCACGGTAGGAAGGTGATAGGGCATTGTAAGAAAGATGGTGTGAAATGCAATGGGTTGTACACTTTTCTTTCCCTTGCAGTGTGCAATGGAAAGATCAAGATCAATGGGATCAACTGCAACAATAGTGTTAGGTACAGAAACATCATCAACATGAGAAATAACAAGCTCAGGCTTAAGGGAAATACCTGGAATTGTATTAGCCGAACTTGGAATTTCAGATGGACTGACGGAGAGTGGTGTAGGTTCTTCTATTGGAGCATGTGTGGAGTCAATCCTCTTGCCTTGGCGCTGATAACACTGTGAGGCTGGCCATAATGGATCAAGCAGTGGGTCTGGAGCTACTAATGGTCTAACAACAAGTGGAACTGATGGATCAAATGAAACAAGAAAAGGAACAGACTGTGACTTCTCCTCTCCAAGATACTCCCCCTGAAGGGAACCATGAGAGAAAAAGAATGTAGATTCAAAAAAGGTAACATCCATAGTGACAAACCTATTCCCCAACATTGTATCATAACAAGAATACCCCTTTTGGTTTTAAGCATACCCAAGGAAAACACATTTATTGGCCTTAGGATCCAATTTCCTACGATGAGGACCAAGAATGCGAACAAATCAAACACACCCAAAAAACTCTCAGAGGTATATGAAATATCTCCCCATCTGGAAAAAAAAAAGACTGAATGGCACCTTAAGCCCCAGAATGCGTGAAGGTACACGGTTAATCAAGTACACGACTGTGAAAACTGAATCCCCCCAAAAACGAACAGGAACTGAAGCACACACCAGTATTTATACTTTTAATTAAAAAAGGGTACAATGACTAATATTCCCTTATAGGGTAGCTAACAAAAACAACTACTAAATCTACACAAATCTGCCCAAAAACCTCAACAAGTATGTAAGTGGAAGCTTGCCTTGGGGATTTGAGGATGCAAGAGAAGAAGAAAAGTATGAATATAAAGCAGTTGGGTTTGGGGTGTTTTTCACACATGTGTGCCAAATCAAACCAACCCGAGTCAACATGGGGTGTGGTATACACACACATATGGCACATTCAATTGTTTGTTTTCACTTATTTGTTTTTTGGTTTTTCTAATAACTTTCTTTGTAAGAGAAACATGTTGTGAGAAGGGTCACGCCACTTCCATTTCCCACTTTTTCCGAACATGGGATGTTTTCCTCTTTTATTGCCCTACATTTCTCCATAACAGATAGACATTTGCCTTTATAGGTGAGCCTTTCCTTTGCATTTGTAGGTCTTCCTCTCCTTTTGGTTTTCTTTTAGTCTTCTGGCGAGCCAAGTGCTTCTTAGCTGTAAACAGCAGTCCTTTTATAGGAACGCAAGCATAGAGAGATGATTGATCATTGAATCATGGGAGCATATCCCCTGTAGTCACTTCGCACAAAATATTTCCAATGGGGCAAAACCAACTTAAGGGTAGTGCTTTCGCACTCCTCGATCACAGCATTTCTATCCGTTTAGTTTTCCACATCTTTCTGGACAAGTTTAGTTCTCCGTAATTAATTTTGCAGCACCAAACAGGTCAACAGTTCTAATTTTGCAATGCAAAGCAGATCAGAGGTTCCATTTACAAATTAGTATAATTCATTCCATATATATGTGCCTATGTATATACATATCAGTCTTGTCAAAGATACATAATGATCAGTCTTGTCAAAGATACATTCATGTTCCATCAAATTGAAATCAAAATAGCCCTAGATTTCTTAGCAACACAGGCTGCATGAAGTGAAAGATTATAATCATCTTTTTTGTTTTAGTTCTTTCTTTTTGGGGGTGTCCATGTATGGTCATTTTTTGTCTTTGGATTTACTTGAAATGTCAGGTTACAGACTAACAATCATGTTATCAGTAAAGAGCAATTCAGTCCAATTCTATTGGAGATTCTAAGTCTACAGATCTTATTAGAATAGAGGAATGAGATTTAAAGTTAATATGGTTTTCTTTTGGAGTAAGGATGTTCTATTGCTCCTAAGAGCTAGAGATAATCAGCTTCTTCAACAAATTTGTCAAGTATTTGGCCGAAACTCTAGCCATATTTTGTGGTCCTCGATTCTCCTTTACTTCTGCTATTTTTTTCTTTATTCTGAGAATTACAGCCACATTCTTGCGGTCCTAACTCCTATAGCCCCACCTGAAATGATCAATAGCGATGCTTTGGGGACTGCTTTGTTACTCTATTTGTCACACAACAGCAAGACAAACATAAGGATGAGGTGCAGCACCCATGGATCCAAGAGACATTTATGCTCAAGAATAAATAGCTGCATTAAGGAGACAAAGTTGAAACTTTGACCAAACATGGATGTAGTGTATGCAGAGAATCCATCCCATGATAGAACTCGGTGCAAAGAACCATCTGAAGAACTTGATCCAAAATGGAAAGAAACATTTGTGAATTTTGAATTGGATAGAATATTCAGTCTATGATTAGGAAACTAAACCAGTAAGCCTTACAAAGATCTTCCATGGCCATTCATATCTAGCAAATGAATTGGAACTGTTACTAAGAAAGGATCTGTCAGTTTAAAAGGAAGAAAAAGAAAACTTTCTATCACCCTCAGTGAGAAAACCAGTCTCTCCTTTGACAGATTTGGTTTGTAACTTCGTATTTGGTTGACTCCTAAAACCTGCGCATG